GGAAGCGACAGAAACCTTGGTGGTATCTCCTGGTTGCTGATTCAACACATAGACCCAAGAAAACCAGGGAGGGTTATTGATATAAGAACAATGTGCCTATGATAAATGACATGATGCCATATTTAAAACTTACTGCCAATTAAGAGCAAGCCAGCCACCATGCTGTGCCCATGAGTTGGTATGACACAAAATAATAATAACAACCAGTGGAAAAAACTGCAAAAGCCCGCATGCATTGAGTACCCGCTACAGGCTTAGCACTCACTGTCCAAAAAGCCTAATGTGAATTTTCCACCGACCTTATAACTAAGTAATACCATCTTCCCAATTGTACAGAAATGAGGCCCAGAGACTATCAGGATCTTTCCCAGAGCCATGCACTGGATTTGGCTGGGTGAGCCAATTCTGTTTTGGAAAAGGCACTGGCTTTCCCACTAACTGGACATGAGCCCCACCTCTTCGTTGGTAGCACAACGGGTTCTCTCCTGTCCCTCCAGCTCCATGAGTTGAAAACTCAAAAGGTAAGAATACAGGGAAAGAGATTAGAGTGAGACAGACTGTGTACTCATGTCACATCTGTCACTGGCCAGGCAGTGTGCCCTCATTCAGTGTATTTTAACTTCCTTTATTTTCTTCTTCATGAAATGTGGTTATTTATTTATGCCTCACAGTAAAATCTGGGAATTTAACAAGATAACAAATGTAAAAGGGACCCCATACAGGGCCTGGATATAGTAGCTGCACCTCTTTTCCTGCTGTGATTTTGGCCATTAGACCCAACTGGGGATATTGGTTATCATTTTAAAGCTATGTGGGTTTTGTCTCTGAACACTTTGCCTACCCTTAAGGGCATGTTCCAGTGACTACAGTCATATGCTAAAGTCATATTCCAAAGTCATAGTCTAATGATATATTCCAATGCTAAAATATTCACAAAGAGGGAGAAATAAGTGGGACAGGTGACCTGGAAAATCAGATTAATTGACATTTCAACAGCTCTGCTGTAGTGAGCACGCAGTCCTTCAGCGTATGAAGACCTGTGCAGTTGTCACACGTAGCCCGCAAATCACAGGTGGCCTTCTCGGTGACTCAGACTTTCTGTCCGGAGACCATGTTTGTGACTGCTGCCCTCGGGAAGGCTCCTTCCTCAATGAAAGGGCCAGGTCAAGGCCCTTCGCTCAAAATACAACTGGACGGCATTAAATACCAGTTACTTTCAAACGCTTTCTAAATCCGGCCCTGCAGCTTCTCTGGTTTCACGGAGGGACCCGGCAGCACCCCAACCCACTTAATACCCACTGTGTAGTGGCTGACAGCACAGTGCCCTGGAGCGGTGTGCGGCCGAGCCCCGGGGGGCCAACGCGACTGTGGCTGCGCCGCGGGGTTTAGAGCAGCGCCCTCCGCAGGTACTCTGGTCGGTCCCAAGTTGTCATTTTATTTCAAAATGATCGCTTTTAAAAAATGTCCAAGTGGAAACAATTAAACTCTGGGAAAGTTAAACAAACGTTGTTACCAAAGAAACCCCAACCAGAAACCAAGCTGCGATTAGCTCTAGATGTAAAATCCAGAGAAAATGCAGGGTGCAGTCAGAGTCTCAAGTTCAGGGGCAGCCCCGGGGAGGCAGCCAAGCCAGCTGTTTTCAGTGGTGATCAGGGAAGGCTCTTTATCGGCAAGAACTTACATAGATTGGATCATGGGGTTCCCGGTGAAGAAATGGTGTGTTCTGTGAAAATTAGCCAGGGTGGTATTAGAAAATAATTTCCAAACTTCCCTAAAGGTTGAATAGTTTCTTCCTAATTGGCTACCAAGGGGTGGCCTTCATGTCGTCACAGGTAAGCGCTCTCGGTGCCACTGCCGGCAGTGGGGGTTAGGTAAGGGAAAAACCACGGGGAACTCAGAAGTGGAGTAAGATTCACCTTGGGACGTGAACTACGAAATGGTAGTTCAGAGGGGCTGCCTTAGGGGAGGGAACCGGTTCCCAGCCACGGACACTTACTCCTTTGTAACACAACAGAACTATGGAAGTATGAAAAGGAAGAATGCTCAGGGAAGGGGGGGTGGGGGTCTTGGAGACTAATCCCAGCCTTAGGACAGCTATGCAGTCCTTGTTTCAGATACAGCATGATTTTGAATAAAGATACAGTGGCTTCTCTCCACCTAAAGGCAATAAAGGAGTAGTTCTCCAGTGCCAGCAGTCATCTGAGGCTCCTGTTAAAAATAGATCCCAGGTTCCATCCCCACAGAGTCTGGGTCAGTAGGTCTGGGATGGAGTTTGGACACCTGGTTATGTACCCATCCCACCAGGGTGACACTGAGGCACGTGGCTTGCGGGCCACACTCTGAGAAACTGAATACCTTGAATCCCATTGCAGTCTGGAGTCCAGGCTCCCCTGGCAACTTTCTGACAACTCAGCGTTTTGTGCAGCTTGCCCAGAAGTTAAGTACCAGAATGTGCATATTTAATGAGCTTAGTTCCTTGATTAACAGAGATTCTCATTATGAAAAAATAAATAGATTGCTGACTTCATGTACGGGTCTCCATCACTTGGTAAATCCTGCCCAGATATCTTGGATTACTTTTCAAGAGCCTTTTCCCCATGTACTATCTATGTTTACATAAAGTTCTCACAATAAAATACTGTATGACAGATGAATTAAATAATTAATTGTAAAAGGGGAAAAATTTAAAAACAACATGATGTTTGCATGTTCTTTGACTAGGTACAATCTCTGAAAGCAAAATATGAAAACGAGAGGCAATAAAACAGTATGTTAGTAGGTTTGACTTCACACAAACTTAAAACTTTTATAGGATAAAAGACATTATGATCTAAAAAGTTTTAAGTGACAAAATGGGAGAAAATATTTGGCTTTTTTAGGATAGTTTAATGTTTTCCTACAAATTAATTTTTAAAAATGCAAGTGGTCCCAACGAAAAATGGACGAGACACAATACTTGCATAAAATAATTAAGACATACTTATAAAAAAACTCATTGTTGATATGAAACTTAAATTTAACTAGGTGTCTTGTATATTTTAAAATCTGGCAACCTTAAAAGAATATGAGTACCCAATTTCTAGCATACAAAACACTAATGACCAATCATTGTTGAAAAGATGCTTAATATGATCATGCAAATTAAAACAAACATCAGTATAGATTGGAAAACACTAAGAAAGCAATGTCCCTTACTGACAGTGATAAAAGAAACTATGCACATAATACACTGTCTGTGGAAAAGTAAACCCATTTCCTGGAAAATCTTGGCAGCTGCAGTGTTAAGAACTAAAATTAAGGTCCAATATTATGTGTCACCTTGACACTTGGTAAAATTGGGAGCATCTTGGATGGCCCAACTGCAAGTTCCCCTCTGCAGTCTGACCCCCCTATGGAGGAGGTTCCCCAGCCAAATAACCCTCCTCACAAAGGGGCCAGGCACAGTACCTGCTTATCCCCAAATAATAGGTGTCTGTCCCTTGCCAGCCTGTGGAATTATTCAAAACAAGCCAATCACATCATCCTGTGGAACCAGGAACACCTCAACCTTGTAATGCTACAAAGCTTTCCTCCCACCGCCCCACCTGTCCATTCGCTTCTGAGGGAAATACCATGTGGCCCTGCTTGGTGCACGGTGTCCTCCTCCCGGCTGGGAGTGTCTATGGCCAACAGATTGTTACAGGTCTCATCTGTTTACTATTGGGAGTGACTCCATGACCCCAGGCTGGGGATCCCTCAACAACTAGATGAAGAGTAGTGATAGAAATAGCAGCATCTTTCAGATTTTTAAATGTACCTACTTTTCAACCCAGAAATTTCACTTCCAAGAGTATATGCTATCAAAATACCCACAGTACAAAAAGAGATGCCTGCAGAAACAGGAATACTCATTGCAACATTGAATTTCCAAGTGAAAAATTGGCAACAATGTGAATTTCACCATTGGGAGATGGTGAAAAAAATTATTATAAAAGTAATCTGTGAAACACTAGGCAACAGTACAAAAGACATAGAAAGAATTCCAAGATGTGTTATGTCTACGCAAAACATACAATATAATCCCAACTTGATTTATGTAAAATAATACATGTATATGTATCTATAGATGTGTGCAAACAATAAAGGCGAGGAGGGAGAATGCCAGTCTGATCAAGTGCTTGCTTCTTACATAGAGGGTGATGGGTGGGGTGAGTTTTGTAATTTTATGCTTCATAATTTTGTACTGTTTCAGCCTTTCACACTGAAAAGGCATTCTTGTGTTGCTTATGTGGTATGATATAAATTTAAAAATAAGAAGAGTGTATCAAAATATAAAGGTTTCATAGACTAACATGTGGTGAAGGTTTGCAGTAATGTGACAAAACTGAGCAATGGGACTGACACCCTCTCCAGACAGCTTCTGGGCCCTAATGCTGTGTGTTTACCCAGCCTCGAAGTCCTTCTCGGCTTCTCTCCAGGACTCTAAGCAAAAACGTTTCCTTCACCTTTTCTGTATGAGTCATGCCATCAAGATTGATACACAAGCTAACACATTTTTGCAAACCTTTTTTCATCTCCCTCCCTACTCTTATCTTTTATTTAGCTTCATCACTTAATGCAGCCTGTTCTTTTAAAAAAACATGTAACAGGAATGAGGGTGAGGTACAGTGAATGAGAGAAAGTAAGACAGAAATACTGCTTGTCTTAGAGTGAAAACAGAACCTTTAGTGATGGTATCTCCTTGCTATGTGAAAACCTGACTTAATTAAAGAAATGGGATGCTGTCTCCCATTTTTCTCTCTTTGAAGAAGCTAGCTGGCCAGTGAATGATAAGCAGCATTAGCGAGCAATTATGTACACAACACAGATCCTTGGGGAAGTCACCAGAACTTGGGCCACACTGCACAGCCTGCCTGTGCCTGGCCTGCTGTGGCCCCACCCCTGAGCCCTGAGGACAGGTGCCTGCCTCCAGCCCCAGCCCCACCCCTCTCCTCCCCGGGGACATGTCCCTGACATCTCACCACACTAATGCCGTCGTTGAGGAGGGCCTCCCCAAAGATCATCATGTAGAGCGGCTCGTTCACATGCGCCTCCTCAAACACAGCCAGCACAGCCGTGGGGTCCACAGCCGAGATCAGGCTGCCGAACAGCAGGTTCTGAAGGAGGTTGATGTCACTGAGGCCAAAGGCTTGGATCTGGCAGATGAGGTAGAGGGAGAGGCCAATGCCAAAGGCATTGATCAGGGCCCCCAGGCCTGCCCACCACAGGATGGAGCCGATGTTCTCAAAGAAGGGCCGGGTGGGCATGAAGTAGCCGCCCTCCAGGACGATGGGTGGAAGGAGGTACAGGAAGTAGATGCTCGAATCCATGACTGGAGGCGACCTGTGGTTGGTGCCGAAGATGATGGCGCCCACCAGAAGGCCCACTGTGATGAGGATGCAGCTTTCTGGCATGCAGCCCGGCAGCCTGCGGTACAGATGGAAGCCTGCGGATGGCCCAGAGCCTCAGTTAGACGTTTGCAAACAAAACAGTCTGCTCACTAAGACACCAGGACATGAGTGCATAGGAGGTCTTTTAAAGCCAGCATGTGGGATGGTCGGCAAACTTCCTGGCCTCTGTGAGCCTTGCACCTCATCCGTAGCAGCAACCCCAACAGTTGGGGCAGCTTTAAACAGCATTAAACCAAATGTGGCAGGCCCAGTGCAGGTGACAGAATGAGTCCCTGCCAGCTGCCACCACCCTCTTCCTCCTCCCCACCTTGCAGGATCTGAGAGTGGGCATGGGAGGGATGGGAACAGAAGGGCAGCACTGTGTGCACTCATGCAAAACCCACCTGATGCAGAGCCCATCACAGTCACCTAACCCTCAGCCGGTTCCAAACCCACCTCATGTTCCTCTCTCCTGCACACACAAACCAAAGCTAAACTCCTTCATCTTGATTCCCACCTTCAACCCGGCCAGCCAACCACGGAGGGCAGAAACCAAGACACAGCCCCATAAGCCTGTCTCCCTCACCTCTTCCCCCATCAGGCGGTCATCTCCCACTTTCATCAGTTCTGTCTTGCATTCGCTGACCAGAAAGAGCATCTCCTCCTCTCCAGCTCCACAGCATGGTTCTCATTTAGGGCTGCCTCGAGGCTCCCCCGGACCACTGCACGGTCCTCCTGATCTCTCGCTCTCAACCCCTGATCCACTCCACAGCCCGCTGCCGGGTGACTGCTCTGCACCACTTGTGTCTGGTGGTCTCCGTCCCCACCTAAGACTCTGAGGGCACGCAAAGCATCTCACGGCTCTTAAACTGAGGATACTGTTAAGCATGCCCATGCCAAGACCAGCCCACTGGTCAGCACTATGAGGTGGAGGGTAGAACATTTTCACTACATGTTTAGAACAGCTGTTAAGAAAATTTAAAAACAAGACATTAACTAATAAGACATCAAAACAATACTATGTACAAGTATTTAATTAAGTGCATATTGAATATATCAGCAAATATGGTAAGAGACCAGAGCACAGCTGGCACCCTGGGGCTCTGCCCAAGTCAGTACCCCACACACCCTGCCCTAGCTTTCTGTGTCATATGTTAGAGCCCACCATGCAACTTTTCATCCTGTAGCCCTCCTTTTTTGTCTTCATACACTGTTATTGCTGCCAGGATTGTCATTTTCCTCAACCTATTTAGTTCCTGCTCAATCTTTGAGTTAAGCTTTCCCAACCACTTCCCAAGAAAACAATGTCTTCCTCTGATTTATTATAAGATTTTATCAGTATCTGTCTCACAACAATGAGCCCTTTCAGTCATTTTTGTGCATGATTTATCTCCCCTGCTAATCTCTACACTCTTCAAATTCAAGGGGAATGACACATCTTATATCCCCCAAAGTGCTTGTCCGTAACAGCTGGTCTATGTGCTGAAAGAATCTGTAAGTGTATTAACAAATGAGTGGGCAGGTTAGATGCTCACCAGAGAAGGTCTTGCATGGGAAGCAGCAGTTGAACAGGTTGTCAGAGAATGACAGGACTGCACAGTTGGACAGCAGAATGGAAGACATTGCAGTTGGGGACAAAGGAGTAGAGGGACAGGAATGGCCCAGCCAGATGGTTTGATGTTCACTTAAGAGAAACACCTGGCCAGAGCAAATTTTGAGTTGTAAGAGTCCCAAGAGAAGAGCTGGAAGGTGATTTTGAGCCAAATAATGGAAGGCCTTGAATTCAAGGCTAAGGAGTGTCAGCTTTCTCTCATAGACCATGGGGAGCCCTTGAATGTCTCCCTAGAAAGTTTTAGGTTCAGCCACCCACAGAGCACATGGGTTTCCCTGATGACAGCTTTGAACTTCTCCATTCACTTTCAGCATTCAGATTATTGCAATGGAGAACAACTGGCATCCAGGCCACTGTCCAAACCACATGCCTACCCTACGGGCTTCAGAACAGCTCACGGCCCCCTTCAAGAGCCCTGTTCTCCCCATTTCGTAATGACAACTTCCTCCTCCTCCTCCCCCTGTGCCTCACCTTCCCTTTCCCCCTCTTCACCCTCCTTCTTTTTCTCTCCAGTTGCTGTTTATTTTAACCACACTGAACTTTTTAATATGTAAATGGGGTGGGAGAGCCCAGAGTGTGATTTTTCTCAGGCCCCCATCTGTCCTGTGGAGTCCTGCTTCCAGGAACTGAGTTTCCCGAAATGGGACCAACGTGCACCTGCCTGAAGCCAAGTGGCACCCACACAGTGGGAGCAGGAAGAGGCCTTGTGCCCCTAAGTAGGGCCTTATAAAGAGAAGCACAGGTGCATCTCACTTTTCACCACTCTCCTCCCCCTTTATAACGGACAGTAGAGCCCGTCACTGTGAGAGTGTACAGTCCCAGTGCCAGAAACGTAAAAGGCCGCAAACAGCAAAGCCCTGCCCGGAAGCCAGAGATGCCCCACTACTCCACCTCACACAGAGATTCAAGATCATCCTTCTGCCATGTTCCAAGAGGTAGAATTGAAGTAAAAGATAAACAAACCCTGAGGTGATTTTGTATTATCTTTGTTCTCGGAAATCATTCTTGTACAAGATGCATCATTGGGTGTTTCAGAAAGGACTGGGGAGAGTTGTGATATTTTCTAGTCAGAGCACCTACCAGGCAGTGCTAGATTCCCCTGTCTTCCCCATTAAAACAAGCCCCTCGAGGTCAGGGACCAGGGCCATGCCCACACATTACATGGGCACTCAGTAAACATGTCTTAACAGAACAACTGGCTAAAAGAATGAGTGATGATGACCATTAATTATATTTTATTCAAGTTTTATAATACAGAATATAAAATACCTATATGGATTCATTGTGTTGAAGCTTTGGTCACTTTTTTTTTTTTGCCCCAGGTGAATGAAGCAATATAGTTAAAACTACAAGCCCACTACTCAGCACAGTATACATTCAGTAAACGTGACCTTTTTTCTAGTATAATGTGAAAGTAATCTGAGTTCTTAAAGACTAGCAAATATGAAACTGTACTTGAATTAGCATGATCCAACTGATAGCCTACTTAGGTTATTTTCTTTTACTCAAGTATGCTGACTCACACCAACATGGAAATCAAAGCATTGAAACCAGCAGCTCTGCGGACACTGGTGTCCTTACAGTACCCTAAACTTCTAGACATCCTGAGTCTGGCTGGGCACCTGCAATACCTCTAAAGAGCAATTAAGGTTTTATGCTGATATAAAACCAAGACAAAATATAACCTTTCTGCACTAAGATGTTTACTGATAAAGAATGTAAGCCTCTGTGCTATTAGAAAATCTTTACTTGCACCAGAAAGAGGTCTTAGATATAGTTTCACAGAGGAACAAACTGAAACTTAGAAAGATAAAGTGACTAGCTGGTCAGTAGCAGATCTAACTTCCTGATTCCCACACTAACTTCACCCATTACTGTGAAGCAGAAAGGATGGGTGAGGAAAGAGTCGCTAGTATTGCTTGCAAAAGAAATTCAAGATTCTTATGTCACTTTAAATGTTCTCAGTGTCCATGTGGTTGCATGAAAGGTATTAGACCCCTACCACTGAACTGAGAATACCATCCCTTTTGAAAGCCATCTGTTGTACTTGAATACTTTTTAGAAAGAATGGGAGACCCATTTTATGTTTGACAAATAACACAGGAGTTCCTCAAACTCACCATTCCCATTCAACCATCACACTTTACTAGTTCAAGTGAATAGCAGTTTTGAAGGGGCACCTAATGAATACACAAGCACCCCCAACATCCTCTAGGAGGGAGTTAGATGAATAGACAGAGCCACAGTCCTGATGCCTAGGACTTAACAGTCATATCTTAAGGCTCAACCCATACTCCACACCCAGACTAAAGGAAAACTATAAATAAGCATCAAAATGTTTCATAGATTATATCTGAATAAGGCCATTTGTCTACTTAAATAACAAAGGTCATAACTGAAGCAAAGAAGATGTTATGCTTAATAATTGAGGAAATTGTATCCATTTTCCACTTTGGAATCACTTTTCCCCTTTGAATAAGCTGGTTCTGAGAGGACTGGGGTGGAGGTAGGGATTAAATGGTCACCAAGCATAAACCATCAGTTTGGTTTTTGGCTCAAAGAACCCGGATTAGAATTTAATCCACACACTTAAATTCACTTTAACTCACCAGAGTTAGTGGGAAACCAGAGGTGTCCCACTAACTCCATTTGGCTAAGAGGTAAGCCAATACCTTAATGACAGACTCTACTCCATATGCCCCTATAACCCGTCTCAGAGTGATAGCAGAGTGGTTTGCTTGCTCCTTGCTTTCTGTCAATTTGCAAGGAGCACAAGTCACTTTTAAAGAAGAATAAACAATGGGAATCATTGATGAAACCCACAGTTATATGGCTGAGAATTAAGGAAAAATATTTTACAGGAGAATCATTATGTGGTTCCTGTAATTTCCAGTGGGCATCATTCCGAGGTCAACATGCCTTAGTTTCTATTTTACATGTCACGTGGTTGTCACCCTGAAATGAGAAGAAATCAGAACCCAGGACCCAGAAATATGCTCTTAAATTTCAAAGCAGAACCCTGAAACATCAAATGGCTTTACAAAAAGCAGGTATGACTTCCCCTTGACACAAGAGAAGAGAATTGTTGATGTAATAGCAGTAACAGTTAAAATCCACTTACCAAAATCTACAAGGCATTTGCACATATATTATCTCATGTGGGAAACAACTCCCACAGACAGATACCTGAGGACTTACCTATTTTTGCAAGAGATGCTAGAAGTATCCACAGGGTGACCTCATAAGGAATTTGCACATAGTCATAATCCAGGGCAAAAACAGGTATTTTCTCATCTGGCTCTGAGCTGGAAGCTGCAAACCGAACATTAGGTTCATGCTGGGCAGTGGAATTTGTGGATTCATTCATATCAGAAGATGCTTCAGAACACTTGAGGGCCATTAACAATAGGAACCAATTCCAAGGACTGAAGGGCGCAAACGTCTGAAAACACATGCTGTGGGCTTTTCCTGCCCCGCACGGGATTGCGCGCCACACATCGGAAGGGAAGAGGGTTTCAGTTGCGCAGCCGCATCCACCTGGGTCAGAGGTAGTATGGGTACAGTCCGTGGGTCACTCACTCCAAGAATGACGGTCCGTGTCTCTGAGTTCTGAGTGGAGACGTTTTCAAATTGCCTTTAAAGGATTTGTGTTCCGGCAGCTCACCTTCTTGGTTCAAATGCAGTCAGTCATTCAGCAGACCTGTGCAAGCGACTACCTGTGTGACCTTCATCCGATCATGATTTTAAAAGCAATTTATGAAAAGCAAAAGAATATCTCTTCACTCAAAGCTCTTTTCTCCCTTCACTGCACACTGGTTTCATGTTGTGAGTGGAAATTTAACAGGACACACGGTACTTTTAAATTTTCATTCCGAATACTGCTGGAGTCCTTTAAACCGGGAAAGGGGTCCTTCCCTCTCTACCTGATGCCAGTCAGGAGTTACCTGTCCTGCATCCGCGCCCTCTCTCCTCCCCCTGCTCTCTCCCTTGCTTTGAATGGCCAAGGTTGCAGGTAGCTCTGGAACTACACTTAATTATTTGCTCTGATTTGACTTTTATCATGAAAAGCTTTCCCTGAGTGTTCTCCGGAGGTTACACTGCTGACACCTAGTGGGAAGCCACAGTAAGACACCTTGGAATGTTTAGTGGTGGACAATTAAGGTGACCCTGTAGTTACCACCCAAACCAGGGTAATTTTAAGAATGAAGAAGAGCTATTAATAACTGGAAGACCATAGGTGTAAACCAGGACCGACCTGCAAACTGTGCCATGTGTTTTCTCTATAAATGAGGGAGGAGGAAGAAGAGGAAGTGTAGAGCGTTCTGGAGTCCGTGAACAGCAATTCAAAGAAAGGATGAATTTCCAGCTTTCCATAAACTTTACCCAGAAGAAAAAAATAATAATGAGCAGAAGAATAAGCTCCATGAAATGCATCTAAGCACCCAGGTTTCTAAAACTATGGCACATACAAATTTTTCATTATTATGGTCTCTCTGTTCAAAAGTAGCCATACAAAAGAGTGCTTAAGGAAAGTTGAAGTGGTCTCTGCGGATCTACTCCTACTGCTACATCCAGCCAGGAGACTTTCAGGAAATCAGTCACCTTTCAAAGCGTTCTTAACTGAAAAGGGACAGGGTAAGAATATCCACCTCACTGTGCAGCTAGGAGCGTTCAATGAGATAAAGCAAGTAAAGTATTAGCATATAAATGGCAGGTTAAAATGTTATTTTTTGTTAGGCTTAATCACATTTCTTATTCTATATGAAAATAATAACTGTTGCAATGAAAAATAACGATCAATAGAAAATGAGAATGGTCATTCATAATTCGTAGACTATCTCAGCACATCTTCCCTATCCAACTGTAGGATGATTTGTATTTTTTTTCTTAGTTCATATTAGTGAGTATAGATGATGCTCACTCCCTCAAACACACACTCAGCAAAGATCATTGGAAAACTGAGGTAGGAGGCGTTGAAGAAGGTAGCATGCAACTTCTCAGTAAGACAACAGGATTAAGAACTCACATATGGACTTTTTTCCCCTCTTTCTTTTGCAGTTTGGCTCCAAAATAGATCATATCCAGTCACTAAATGAGACTTTTAGGTCAACCACAATAAGACCACCATATTATGTCAATTTTTTCTCCAAAGAAGCTTGCATGAATAGCCTTATAATGGAAAACATTTTTATAATTGATATTTTATCTTTTTATTTGCATTTTTATCTTACTTTTCTTATAAAAAGAAATTGGAAAGAGAAAGCTTCCCATGGTACTCTGTGGAAAGACCAGAACTGAATCAGAAAACCTCTGTTCTCGGGCCATTAATTATCTGTTCTACTTTGGGAAATCACTTTACCTGTTTGAGACTCAATTTTTTCATCTACAAAATGAAGATGCTATCCATACCAAGCATTCCTTTTCTGCTCTAAAACTCCAAATATTTGTGAATACATGACAACATGCTTAGCCCCTCAATCAACTGATAGCTGGTAGTGCAACTATAACCACCATTAGAGAAGTGATACCAGTGTAGGGAGAGCAGTTGGAGAAAACCTTGAAATCTGAGCAGCCTGCCAACTTGTCTTCAGGTTGAGGTTTTGCTGTCAACCTTGCCAACTCTGGCATCACTTCTAACCATGTGACAGTACTTTCACACAGCTGCCCAAATATTCTTTCTATAATGCTCTCTCAGTCCATGTTCTTAAACAAACTGTGAGACAAAGCTTATATGAGTAGTACAAACCAAAGGCTATAAGAGAGAAAGGGAAGCAAGAGAGAACTCTACAGACCGTCTCCCTAGTGAAACTACCATAACTGGTGAGAATTATTACAAAAACAATTCAGTCTCTAGAAGTTTCCTAAGGGCATAGAGCAATTAAAGACAATCTTCCAAACACTGCCAGAACCTGCAAGAGTTGGCAGCATGACCTGTTTCTTCCCTCCACCTCTCAGCTCAGTGTAGGCACAGCTGAGAGGATGGGGATCCCTCTAACCTCAGCTCCCAGTCTAGGTCTACAGTTTGTACTTATAAAAGTCAGGCTGTCAGTATTTGTCATCAGTATGCCCCCATCCCCTCCCCAGCAATGTACTGTACAATCTCTATTGCAGGCAAGTGGGATTGAGAGATCCTTTCCTCTATACAACCCTACTCATAGGCTTGAAATTCTCCCCCTGGAATGGCAGGCCAAGAATACTGGGCTCCAACCCCTCTCACCCAAGCTTATTCTAGGGCTGAGTTTCCACACCAGAGGAGACAAGCCAACATTAGCCACTATGCCCCTGCCCATCACCCCTTTCATAAGCAAGGGTGTCACTCCAAGAGAGGCAGGTGCTGTCCTTATATCACTTTCTAGAGTAGAGGGACAGAGGTTCTGTTAAAGGAAGAGGCAGGCCGTGGAACAGGGAACTCCACAGGTGTCCCTAAGGAACTGAATTTGTCTGGAAGAGAAGTAGGGAAGTTCAAGCCTAAGGGCACTGTCAAAACCAGTGAGATTTATGTAGTGAGCAAGTAAGAAGAGCTATAGCTTCATGGTATCAGCCCATGAAAGGTGAACTGGTTAGAAGTTTAACAGAAGAACTAGGGAAAGAAAGAGCTAAGAGAACCATCATGGGGACACAGATGTGGAAAGACTGGCCTCAAAAATTACCCTGCAAGGGGCCTGACTTTAATTGGATCAAACTGGGGAGAAATTTATGGACCAAGGCATGTTGAAAACAATAGAGCATTCAGCTAGTAATTATTGGAGGCTAATAGCTGAGTGTGATATCAATAGACAACAGACCAGCTAGAAGCTTAACAGGGAGATCAGTGAAAGAGTCAGAGAGAATCCTATTAAGGCCACTGTCTCTCTGAGTGAAAGAGGAAGAGGTCAGGGGGATTGTGTGTATGCCCAAGGTCATACCAACTGAGAGCATTATTAAAGTCTACATAGAGAGACAGACTCTTGAAATAGTCCAGCCAATGTGGTAAACAAATAAACAATCAAACAATAGAACCTGAAGTTGGTGGGGAGGGAAAATCAGCATCAAGAATTGCTACAAGCTATCAGTTAAAATATCCTATTTTTAATAACAATGACAAAATGCTATCTACAGAAACCTAAAACTTTAGATTCAAAGATATAAGTAGATTGAAAGTAAAAGGATGGGCAAAATAAAAGTGTCAATTCATTAAGAAGACATAACAATTATAAACTTACCTATACCAACTGGGATTTATCCCAGGAATGCAAGGTTGGTTTAACATCCAAATGTCATTTATTATGATGATATATCAATAGAATAAAGGACAAAAACCACATAACCATTTCAATAGGCTGAGAAAAGACATTTGATAAAATCTAACACCCTTTCATTTTAAGAACACTTAACAGACGAGGAATAGAAAGGAGCTTCCTCAAAACAATAAAGAGCATCTAGAAAAAAAATCCACAGCCAACATCAGACTTAATGGTGAAGACTAAATTCTTTCCCCATAAGATCAGGAACAAGACAAGGATGTCCACTCTTGCTCCTTCTATTCAACATTCTACTGGAGGTTCTAGCCAGGAGAATGGGAAAGAAAAATAAAACATACAGACTGAAAGGGGAAAAGTAAAACTATTTCTATTTGCATATGAAATGATACAATTAGTCAAAGAAGAATGTTGCAATTAGTCAAAGAAGACCTAAAGAAATAGAGAGACATCCCTGTTCATTGATAAAAAGATTTAATATTGTTAAGACAGTGCCTTAAAAGTAATCTACAGACTCAAAACAATTTTTATCAAAATCCTAATAGTCTTTTTTTTAGAAATTGGCAAGCTGGTCCTGAAATTCAATGGAATATGTCCAGAAGAGCCCAAAAATCTTGAAGAAGAAGAAAGTTGGAAGATTCACAGTTCCCAATTTCAAAACTTAATACAACACTACAGTAATCAAAATAATGTGGTACTGGTATCAGAACGAATATGTAGATAAGAGAAGAGAATTGAAAAACTAGAAATAAACCATTATATTTATTATCAATTGATTTCTGACAAGTGATCTAAGACAATTAAATCAACAGTAAAACATAAGTTTTTCAAAAAGTGGTCCTGGGAAACCTGAATATCCACATGCAAAAGCACAAAAACATACTCCTTCCTTATTCCATATACAAAAATTAATTCAAAATGGATTGTGGACTAAATGTAAGAGCTAAACCTTAAAACTCAGAAAAAAAATAAGAGTAAACTTTGAAGATCTTGAGTTAAACAAAACTTTCTTACATATACACACCCAAACCACAGCAAGCAACAAAGGGAGACAGATAAATTCAAAATGAAAAACTTTGTGTTCCAAACTACACTATCAAGGAAGTGAAAAAGACAACTCACAGAATGGTAAAGAACTCTCACAGCTCAATAATGAAAAAATTAATAAACCAATTAAAAATGGGCAAAGGATCTGAAAAGACATTTCTCAAAGAATGGCCAATAAACACATGAAAAGAGGCTGAACACCTTTAGTCATAAGAGAGATCACACATCAAAACCACAATGAGATATCATTTCACACTCACTAGAATGCTACAATGGATAAAAAGAAAAAGAAAAAAAGACAGGTAATAGCTAATACTGCCAGTGCTGCCATGTATGTGGTAGAATGTAAAATGGTAGTGAAAATCTAAAACACTGCAATTTGGCTGTTTCTCAAAACATTAAACAAAAATTTACCATGTGACCCAAAAATTCCACTCATATACCTAAGAGAAATGAAAACATATATCACTCAAAAACTTGCACATGGATATTTTTAGCAGCAGCAATCATAAGATCCCCAAAGAGGAAATATCCCAAATGCCTATCAGTTGCTGAGTGGGTGAATAAAATATGGAATGTCTATACAGTGGAATGAAGCCCTCATATGTGCTACACCATGGATGACCTTGAAAAAATCATGCTAACTGAAAAAAGCTATTC